GAGAGAGAGAGAGAGAGAGAGAGAGAGAGAGAGAGAGAGAGAGAGAGAGAAGCAGCAGGAAAAAAAGATCAGATAAAGGCCTAAATATTAATGACATGAATGCTTTTGAAGGTTATAGTTCCAGACTGCCAAGTATATATTTGTTATCTATTGTTGTATGAAAAAAATTCCTCTCTCCACCAAATTTAGCGGCTTAAATAAACAAACATTTATTATCTCACAGTTCCTGGGGATCAGAGATTTTAGGAGCAGCTTAGCTGGATGACTCTAGCTCAAGACCTCCTCATGAGGTTGCCGTCTTCTGAGGCTAGACTGAGGCCCGGGGATCCACTTCCAAGATGGCTCACCACGTGGCTATTGGCAGGAGGTCTCAGCTCCTTGCTTTGCAAGCCTCTGCATAGGCTGCTTGAGCGTCCTTAGCACGTGGTACCTAGAGATCCAAGAAAGAGAGCAAGGAGGAACCTGCCTTGCCTTTTATAACCTCCTTTTCTTTTCTTTTTTTTTTTAAAGATTTTATTGGGGAATTAGAGGGGAACAGTGTTGGGGAAGGGGAACAGACAGGTAGACAAATTGCTGTTTTGTTCTTCAGTCTAGTTGTGGAGGACATCGCTTCACTGGCCCATGTTGGTATGATCATTGCGCTCTTCCCGGGTGAGGCATTCGGTCGCCGGTCGTTGGTTGGCCACTCATGGTGGCTCACGGCAGCAGTCGCTGGCTGCTGGCTGCTCACGCTGGCTGCCAGCCACTCATGTAGCTCACGGCAGCCCACTGCAGCCCCACTGCAGCCTGTGCCGTCACCAGCAACTCATGGCAGCCCAGCTCCAGGTCGAGCTGTTGTTCATCATCTTAACTGTAGAGGGCGCAGCGTCACTGGCCCTTAATGTGGGATCCGAACCGGGGCCCTGCTGCTCAGAGCTGGTGCTCCTAAGCGAGCTCTTAACCAACTGAGCCACTGGGCCGGCCCTATAACCTCCTTTTGGGTGTCACACACCTTCACTTTTACCATATTCTATTCATTTTGATTTGTATCAAAGAATTTGTGGACATACTGTTTTTTCTTCTTTCTAGCTTTTTTGAGATATCATTGGCAAGTAACATTGTGTAATTTTAAGGTGTACAATGATTTCCTATACAGGTATATTATGAAATGATTACTACTTGAAAGTTAGTTAACACACCTATCACCTCAGTTAGTTACCTTTGTGTGCATGGTAAGAACATTTAAGATCTCTCTTAACAACTCTCAAGTATATAATACAGTACTATTAATTGTAGTCACCACGTTATACATTAGATTCCAAAATGTATTCATCTTATAACTGAAAGTGTACCCTTTGACCAATATCTCCCCATTCCTCCCACTCCCAATCCCCTAGTAACCACAAATCTGTGTGTTTCTATGAATTTTACTTTTTTAGAATTGTGGGCATATTTTTAAATCACTGCAAAGAGACAGATTAAATGACCTCTGAGGAGGGTATAAAGGTCAGGGCAGCAAAGGATAGCCCAAGAAGATCTATAGAGATATGGGAAGAATATACTTTACTTCCCAATTATTGAGTTAACATCAGCTAGCATTTCCAACTGATCTTAGTTGGAATCTGTTTGACTTTATTAAATTACCAAAGTTGATATAGGCAACTCTTTGAAAAAGGCGAGGTTGCTTTTGCGACCCAAGGCCTCCCTTCCCCTCTGTGGCATTATTTCCCTAGTCTTTTGGAGGGAGGGTCTGATATAATAGGACCTCACCTGATCAGAACATGCTCTCAGGAAAGGGACACCTTCATATAAATCATTACCTCTCTAGTGGGAATTTAAATTTTAAACATGTGGTAATTGAACAGATAGCTTTTTCACCCAAAGAGATTTCATTTAGAGCAGCGGTTCTCAACCTTCCTAATGCCGCAACCCTTAATACAGTTCCTCATGTTGTGGTGACCCCCAACTATAAAATTATTTTCGTTGCTACTCTATAACTGTAATTTTGCTACTGTTATGAATCGTAATGTAAATAAATATCTTTTTGTTTTCCGATGGTCTTAGGCAACCCCTGTGAAAGGGTCGTTCGACCCCCAAAGGGGTCGCGACCCACAGGTTGAGAACCGCTGATTTAGAGGGACTGTAAAAGGTAGAAGTGTTTTTGAAGGAGAGATGGCGTGCTGGTTGGCCTCCTGAAATCTCCCGTAGTCTTTGGAGTACTAGGTCCCCACATGATAAGGTGGACCCTGATTTCTCCATGAGTGCCTTTATGCTGCTGTGTACTGACCATACACAGGAGACTTTCTTGCAGCAGTAGTTCAACCACAAGTATAAGTTCAAATAGTTTCTATTGCATTCACTACCTGGGGATGGCATTTACTGAATAATCAGTTTCAGAAAATAATTTCGTTCTCCCAATTCTACATCTACATGACCCCAAACAATTTGACTTTTTCCCCCACAGAATTATTTTCTATTTCCCAGTTGCAAAGGACTATCTATTTTATCTTGTATTTAAATAAGAATGTGTGAGATATTCATTCTTTAACATTTATTTTTAGAATCAGTGAAGCAGTAGGCATTATTTAGAACAGGTTCAGATGTGTCTTTAGATACAGGGCTTAAATTTTAAGACCCATTTTTAGCTTATTCCATGCTGGAATAATTAAGGTATATTTTGGAGAATTTGCTTATTTGTTATTTAATACTGAAAATTATTTTGTAGTAGGTTTAAAGATTTTACTCCTGAACATGAATAACAATGTAATTTTCTAACCAATAAATTCTATTTTTTTTGCATAACTAATCTTCTCAAAAATATCTTCAGGAGCCAAATTTAGAAAGTATGTGGGCCATTCTGCACATGTCACAAACGTCCGCTGGTCTCATGACTTTCAGTGGGTATTAAGCACAGGAGGGGCTGACCACTCGGTTTTCCAGTGGAGATTTATTCCAGAAGGTGTCAGCAACGGCCTGCTGGAAACTGCACCCCAGGGTAAAACCAGTAATAATTTTTTTCAATAAAGTTTCAAGGAATGTTCTAACATCTCTTCTGGAGATAAAGAGTTAAAGCAATTTTGAAAAATTCATTTCTATAATAAATTTTTAATTTAAAAAGGAACAGAAAAAAAGCTTTTGAGACAAATATGCATCAGTTGAATAATTTCCTTCAAAGGATTTTGCTTATACCAAATGCAAGTTGAAGGTTTAAGGTTTACATGAAGAATTAACCTTTGAAGACAACATGAATGCAAATGTTTCAACCTCCTTAGGACAATTGTAATGGGCGGTGGGTCTGTTGAGTTAGGTTACAGGGTGACAGGATAACCTTCGTAATAGTAATTGCCTCCTGAATGGGGTTCAAATGTGGGTCTGTGTGTCCCAGTTCAATGGATGTATAGTCTTTTTATTTATTGTGATGTCGGCCAGAATGATCAGGTAGCAAAATGAAAAATTTTTCATTTTTCTATGTATGAGGAAGTTTTTGTTGGGTGGGGTTCTGCCGTGATTTTGACCATGGCAATTACTGGCACTTGAACATATGAACAGGCTAAAGAGTGTCTTTATTGAATTAAGTGGCTGGATTCCCCAGCCTCCTCCTTGGTAAAACCTGCCTACCTACCTTCCTTCCCTCCCTCCCT